TTGACGTTGATTTGTTTGCATGCTTCATGTGCACTTGATGTATAATGTAAATTAAAAAAAATAAAAGTTATTGTAACAACCCCACATCAAGGTCAAAATAAATAAAAACTCCCCTCCTGAACCCCCAAGAATTTACTGCTCACCTTGTTAATACACTCCATTTGTCTGTGTTGCTTCTATAAATCGATAGATTAATATTTTAACCATTTTATTCAAATATGATTGTGTCTATTTGCAACGTAAAATGAGGTGTTTTCAGAAATGACACTACAACATAAAAGCTTTTGAAATGTTTTTCTTTAAAAGAAATATAAAGAATTATAAACACTTCATAAAATATCAAACCCTTTAAAATAATACTAATATATATATATATATATATATAAATAAAGTGAACATGAACTTCCGGTCTTCACGTTCTACTCTTCCCCACAGATAAGGCCCCGCCCCGGATAGAAACGTAACAAGACGTATGTGATTCTCTGCGGAAGTGAAAGACGACGACAGAGACAGAAACAAATAAGTTGTTTATTAAGCTTGGCACATCTGTTCCGGTAAGTTTTTATGGATGTATGTATCAGAATAACTTGAATATTACTTCTTAGGTGCCCACTAGTGCGTTTTAATATTTATATTTTTTAGGAAGCTCGCGTCTAGGTAGTGAACGATGACAGAAGAGAGCAAAGCTAACAAAGCTAAGGCTAGCACATAAGCTGGTCTGACATTTCATGCGCAGGTCTTAAGTTTTCTGTGTTCATAACGAACGTTTATTGTATTTATTGATATTTAATATCAAATAATATTTAAGAGTTAAGTGGGTTTGAAGTGTGTCACTTGAGTTGGCCTTGCTACATTTTCACTGTGTTCAGCTCGAGCTAACAGATTTACTTCTTTGGCGGCTGATACAGAGCTCTTCTGGCATTTTTATATCGTGTGCTATGTTTGTTTTTGGGTAACACTGTGAAGTCATTCTATTGGAAAGTGTTAGTCAGACTCACATGATCGCATGACTCACTGGTAATGACGTAAGGTCGTCTGTAAGAGTTGGTTTCGATTAAGAATTTTCTCATCTTTCGAACCTTCCTGTCAACAGGTAGTCAACAGTAACGATGTTAGGCGGAGGATTTAAAGCAGAGAGACTAAGAGTGAACCTCCGACTGGTTATCAACCGACTTAAACTTTTGGAGAAGAAGAAAAGTGAGTCCAGGAATAATAATAACAATGTCGATGCACGCAGCGCACCTGTGTTCTTCTCTAATGACACATTACTTTCCCACCCCAAATCACTTCATTTAAATCAAAAGCTGAACTTGCACAGAAGGCAAGGAAGGAGATTGCTGATTATCTGTCAGCTGGAAAAGATGAGCGGGCCAGGATTCGTGTGGAGCATATCATCAGAGAGGACTACCTGGTAGAAGCCATGGAGATCCTGGAGGTTTACTGTGACCTGCTATTGGCTCGCTTTGGTCTCATTCAGTCAATGAAGTAAGTTCTGAAACAATGGACTTTACCGTTGTCATGAAGGATTAGCCCTAATGTATACTAGTCTTTACAGTCTGCAGTGAACCCTTTTACCTGCAAAGATTTAGCATTAGCTTGTTTCCAATCTCTTTTAGGGAACTGGATCCAGGCTTGCAGGAACCAGTGTCCACCCTAATTTGGGCAGCACCTCGTCTGCAGTCTGAAGTGTCCGAACTAAAAATTGTAAGTGCTTTAAAATATAAATGTATGTTATTTGTATTCATATACTGCTGATTAAGCTGATGAAATATGACAAATTAAGAAAATACAAAATTACAATTGTGCAAAACAAAACAACTTTTTCACAAATAAAACTCTCTGTTTCAGGTGTCCGAACAGCTATGTGCAAAATACAGCAAAGAGTATGGTAAGCTGTGCAGGACCAACCAGATTGGCACTGTCAGTGACAGGGTAAGACCCAAGTTGCAGGATAAGCTGCTAAACTCTATCCTTTGGAAAATCTGATCAAAAATGTACAAACCATAGCCTAGAAACATTTACATTTATTATCTGTTGTGTTTTTAGTTGATTCACAAACTCAGTGTAGAGGCCCCTCCCAAGATCTTGGTGGAACGCTATCTTATCGAGATAGCCAAGAATTACAATGTACCATATGAATCTGATGCCATGGTCCGGGTGAGTATTTAGGAACTGTTTCAGACTGAATTAAAAAAAAATTATACATCTGTGTGTAAATATTTATGAATGCATTTAGTTACATTTGTATTCCTTCTCTGCTGCCATTATCAGCCTGAAGTGTGTCCTGGAGAAGAGGCAGACCTGATTGATGTGGACACTGACAAGAAGCATGGGGGTGGAGGTGGTGGTGGTGGTGGTGGAGGTGGTTTCTCTGCACCACCTGCTGCTAATATGCAAATGCCCATGCCCATGCCCATGCCTATGCCTATGGGATTCAATTATCCAGCACCCAAAGGAGCTGTAAGCACTTATAAGTAATACCTGCAGAAGTTAGAACAGAAAATGTGTTACCTTTTGCTCACAGTAATATTTAAAACACACTTTTTACATTTTGGGGTATTGAAGATGCTAGTTGTTGTTGACTTAATTGCCCTACAATATGGGTCATTTTGAACCCAGATGCTGTCAGCTGTGACATTAACACATGTGCTTGACTGTTTTTATTTTACTACAGGCACCGTTTAATGCACCTGTTGGAACCTATGGCAACTTCCAGCACCAAATGAGCGGAGGGCAGCCCCCACAGTTGCCCTCTTCTCCTCCCACATATGAGTCTGTAAGTGACTGAACCCTTGCCACCCATGCCCTCTTCCTGTTCCAACAGATGGACAGACCGACAGGGCAGGGCAACAATCAGGGAAGAGCAGTTTATTCCGCTTGCTTGTAGTTTTTCCTGTTGACAACTCTATGCTATTCATCAGCACGGGCACAAGTTTTTGCTTTATCTGCTTAGAAAGCATTGTCTTTAATACTTCACCTATCTACTAACCATAATAAGAGAAAATTAAAGTTGCATTGAAGTTCATTAAATGCATTTTGGAGATGCTGAGGCTAGTAGTGTTTTAAGTTCTTTAGGTGATGGTTTTCTTTGAAAGTCCCTGCGGTTTCCCCTCTTTCTCCAGTTTTTGTTTATTTGTTTGTGATTGCCGCATTATCAAATGTGATGTATGTTGCGCTCAAACTACTAATATACTAACTCGCAGAATAATTAAATTTATTTCAGTGGGGAAATGACAACGTCCTGATATATCATGTCTTTGTTTCAGATTGATGACCTAACTGACACGCCCTCTGTTCATTCCCAGGCTGTAGGTGAGTCCCAGTGTAAAAAGAGCACTTTTGTCCTTTATCTGAGCTAAGTTGACACATTCACAGAAATTAAAATATTCACTTTATTTAAGATTGATGCTGCTTAAAATAGCCTTTCTCATCGAACAAAGAAAATAAAAATACTAATACTTATTACAAGTTTTCTTTGCTGTGAAAGCCCTATTTCACCAATAACCTTGAGTTGTTTGTACTCTCTCTAGGTCCTGGACCCTCTCCTTTTGAAAACAACGCTTTCCCAGAGCTCCCCTCTGTTCCTGACACACTCCCCACATCTTCCTACGGTGGCGCCAGCACCAACACGGAAGACATCGATTTTGATGATTTAACAAGGCGGTTTGAGGAGCTGAAGAAGAAGACTTAATTGTTCTGCCCCAGGTTCACACACCTGCACACATGAGTCCACACAAACACACACACACACACACACACACACACACAAATACAAGGGTGTGTGTGTTTTAAAAGATCAGAATAGGAATCAATAGGGTTGTAGGTTCTTAATAAGATTTAGATACAGAACTTTTTCTCTTCAAGCTGAAATAATTATATACAAACACACCAACAGAATATATTCTTACCTTGTTTATATAAATATGTCCTGATTGATCATTGCACAGCTGCTCCTTCCACACGGTCATTTATCAAAAATGTTTTTTGTAGTTGTAGGAACTACTTTGTGCTTTTTTTGCCTATAAGTTACATTTTACAGTCTTGTTGATCTTTTCTTCATTTAAAAATCAGAATGGTATCCCGTTTCCTTATGTCAGTGTTTTGCACCATTACACTATTTTTAACTTTGGATTTTTCGTTTGACTTACCGTACACTTATCGCTATTGCCTTTATTCTGCTTTAAACGTGCTGTTTCCTTGTGATTATCGGTTTTGTCTGTGTCTTGGTTTTGGCTCAGACCTGTTAGACCAGTTTCACTGGCCTCCCCAGTTTGGTAGAAAGTTGGCCTTCACATTGACAAAGACTTGCATCTTGTTTCCAGTCTGACGGCAGTCTATAGAAAGCGTCAAATAAATGTGAGCCATTTTTAGTGGTTTCAATGGTTGTGTGGGTAAGCTCCTCTCACAGGTGGTGGATGAGCTTTGAGTGACACCAAGATACTTTTCTAATTTTCTGACTGGTAGGAAGGGGTGTGAGTGCGTGAAAAATATGTACTATAACCAAATTGCAATCATTAAGAAGGACATATTAGTGGGATAATTATACTGTACAGTCAAAATGAGGATCTGAGAATCAATTTGTTTGCCTTTTGAATATAAGTTTTAACAGAAACTCAGTATATTTAAGTGTCTTTTTTCCGCAAGAACAAGCAACGCAACGACATGATTAAACGTGATTGAAGTGAACAAAATGAAATACACGTTGACCACAGAAAACCTGTGTTTGTCCTTGGCTCACTCTGACGTGTGTCTTCGTACTGAATTTGCCTTAGTTCACATCTTTTGAGAGATGCCTTGTCAGTCGTCATGAGAACAATACCTTATCCATTGTTAAAATCTGAACTTTGAAACCCTTAAGTTTTCTAAAGTCAGGTGGTTTAAAAGTCTGACATGTCGGCAGAAGTTGGAAGAGAAATTAAGAAAGAGGAGATTTGTTTCAGACATGAGACATTCTGGTGTAACCTAATCACCCAGTTTGCATTGGAAATGAATGAAGAAGAAAGCTTTTCTCGTGGTCAACAAACACGTAAAAGTGTCCAGTATTGTCAGAGTAAACGGCAAAGAGAGATTAACACTACACTACTGTGATCTGCTCACTGTCTTTTCTACTCAGACTGTTCTTAAATACTTAAATACACCTCAATACACAAAAGTGTATTGGCTCAACGTTTTTTCAATGTATTGCAAAAAAATATTAACTGAATAAAATGATATTTGGAACTGGAAACTTTGGTTTTTGTACTAGGAATATCCCCGTCACTCAAATTCTGAGCAGAAATTTTCTCTTTACCTTCTTTTACTAGATATTTTATGTTTAAAATTAAGCTGATAATATATTATTGTTCTGCGTTAGTTATAATAAACTCATAATAAATTTACTACCAAGAAACAAATATATAAATAACTGTACTTTAAACAATCAGTAGACCTAAAACAAAACAAAAAACCCGAAATATGTCTGTACCTCCTCCATTACCTTCGCTTGCCACTAGGGGTCCAAGTAGTCCCACTGCTAAAGACCGTAAACATTGTAACATTGTTGTTACATTGTTGTTATTTTATTCGTCGACTTACTTTCAGCATTACATTTTGTGTTCCTCGAACAATCTCATATTATTGGACTATGAATTAAATCAACATATTTATTGTATATCTTAGGTGTACATTGATTCTCTTGTTCAACCCACAGCAGTACATTATTAAAATCAATCTTAAGTTTTCATCTTTAACTGGCACTTTATGACACGTTGACTATGCATTTATACCATAAACAGTATACCATCACAATCCATGTGACAGCAAATAGATACAATACATTTTCTTAGGTATTGATATTTCAAGACCATTTCTATTTTTATTTTATTTGACTAATATGATACACTACATTGTAGTACATTCAGAAAGATTTATTCACAGAAATCCAAAATACTTGCCATAAGTATGTATATATGTGTACACATTCCTTCAAAATATTATTGTTTAATTTTGAATTGAAATAAAATATGAATAATAATTAACTCTAATCTAGTTGATTTTTACTTCCAGTTGGTACTCTTCTTTGGTGACGTCCTGATCTTGTGCTTTCATGTCTCTGTCTATGACTGTCACAAAGAGGAAGGGTCCTGAGTTGGTCGTTTGACAGTGTGTTGTCTAACTGTTAGGTGTCCTGCACGTCGTCTCATTGGAAGGAACAAAAAAATAAAAGCAAAAGTCAGATGATGATGATGATGATGGTGATGATAACGATTGCATTATGAGATCTAGCTGCAGGTGGGCTGGGAGTCTGAGGGCTGGGAGTCAGTTTTTACATCTAAGAGCTCCATTTTATTTGACTGTTGCTGGTATTCAGACCTGAGCGCACCAATGCCTACATATATCAGTAAAATGTATCAGTAAAAAGCACATCCACACACAAACAAAATCTGCTAAAAGTATTAATCAGCCTGACATATTTTATAAATCACATTTATAAACTACAAGAGCAATATGTTTGAACTTGACTATCATTTTCTCATACACATCATTACACATTTGTATGTTCGCAAAGAGTTAAATTAATGTTAGGTGAAAAGCGTGTTGAAGAAGTGACGGCTCGTTATTGGAGCAGCTACGGTGGAAGAAATGTGTTGTCCAGATAAATGAAGCTTCTTTACAGCGTTTCTCTTCCAGAATACAACCTACATCGCTCTTTTTGCTCTGTTGAATCAAAGAGAAAGTGCAGTCGGTCATGCAAGATTTTTACGTTGAGTTGTCAAAGCAACAAAACACAGGACACAACATGGACAGGGAATAACGTTCTTACCAAGCAGCACTTGTTCCACTTCCTCCGTCTCCTCAACAGAAACGGGTTTCAACAGCAGAGCAAAAAACACAGCAACACCTATCACCTGCATCATTAAACAGCCAACAATATATATATGTTTTTAAAATCTTGTTTAACTGTGATTGCTCAATTTTAAAAGGTCAACATTTTGAAATCGATGCAAACCTTAAGTGGCTGCAGTATAAAGATGCTTTGGAAGAGGGAGAGGCCCAGAGAAATGACCCACTTGATGGACTTATCTCTGCCGTACTGGAAGCCGTACAGCAGGGTGAAGTAAGTGGACACGGCGCTGATGGACAACAACAGGAACCATCCCAGGAACACACACCACCAGGGTAGCCAGCAGCCGTCTGACCTCTTCTTCTGCCTCTTCACAGGAGGTGGGCTGGGCCAGGAAAAGAGAGGCAGACACCAAGTGAGTCCTCGTAATCATATATATCTACGTTTGAGTGGCGTGTAGAACACTGACCAACAGGCTATGTGGCTCGTGTAGACCATCTCAGCCTTTCGCACCAACACATTGGTGACGTTGAGTGCCATCTGGTAGTCTTGAGGAACTGGTACGTTTCTACCGTCCAGCCTCTCCAGGTCCATCAGGAGGTGACAGAGACAGGCCAGGAGGAACCTGCTGCAGTTAACCCAGTGGGGGTCGCTCTCACATTCCCCTGTGACGGGATTACATTCAGACCAGAGCCTAGTTATTGCTGTTCTACAACCTTTGCATCGCTGCTCAGTGCGAGGAAGTATGTAAGTGTTGCTAGAGATTTCATAGCTGTTGAATAAATGGAGGATATTATCTTTTTTTTTCAATGAGCATAACAGAGTAGAGGAAAATGATTAACCCTTGATTGCTCCTGGACCGAATACGCTTAAGTAGCACTTGTTTAGTAGACAAAGTGCAGCACTTGAGTCTTTAAATAAATACGGAAATGAAAAGTAATAGGAACACGATCTTTATGGGCCATTAACTGCATGTTTCACTGCGTGAAAATAATCCTCGCAGCTACTTGAATTCGTAACTAAGTTGTTGCCGTTCAATTTTTTTCTGCGACTATGCTGAGCCGGCTATACTAATGTAAACATTTATTGTCCTACTGAATAGTTTTTTCTGAATAGTTTTTTCAGAGTAAATAATAAATACATACGTGTAACGTACCTTGCATTAGTTGGACGAACAAATTAACATTGTCCAGGGTGTAGCAGAGGTCAGTGATGGACTCCAGACTTGGCACCTCTGAGATTTTGTTCCTAGGACTTTTGCTAACCAAAGACACTACCTCCTCTGTTTCCTAATAGAAATATACAAGAGGCACACAGTGTTGATTTTAACAGTTCTGGTGAGGACTCCGAAGAGACAGGTCTGTAGTGGAGCGAAACACCAAGAGTCTTGAACTGAACCAACTCACCCTCAGAATAGTTGGGATGGTAACTGCATGTGGTTTTATTTTCTTTTGGTCGTCTTTAGGAGTAACTATGCGAGGTTTGATGCTGCGGAAGATGGTTATAATAAGGATGTTGATGGGAAACATGAGGAGACCACTCTGAATCCCCACCATGATCTCCTGCCAGGTGACTTTTAGGGAACCTGATGCCAAAGAAGAAACAGCTAAGTTCCACAGTGTAGTCACACAGGTCCCACATGCAAATGCTGGCCTTACTTTTTCGAAGCAAAAATACTAAAAGGAATGTAATTAAATTCCAAAACCTCTGTTGCTGGCCTTTGCAAAACAAATCTTATTTGACTGACTAAACACCGCCTTCTTGCGGACCATTTGCTTAAAAGTTCATATGTAAGTGGGTTTTGAAATGAAAGTATACAATTTTTGCAGTATTTTGTTTTCGATCAGTTTTATCCATGAGCAAAGAATGGACTTAGATTCATATAGGGCAACAGCTAGAGTCAGGGTCTTTAACTTATGGCAAAGAAATCCCCACAAATTCACCTAAAACAAAAATGACTGTTGAGTTTGGGTCTAGAGAAACGTTCCAGAAAGCAATGTTGATAGCCATGGTGCAGAGGAGCAGGCACATGCAGCAGGAAACTCGCTGTGCACGTGTGAAAGGACTACGTGAGGGAGGATCCACGATGGACACCCAGATGTGTTCATCCCTAAAGCCAGTGGATGTTCTGCTCTGGAAAATATTTCTGACAATGGAAAGGAAAAAAAAACGCAATCATGACAAAAAAAATTGGCAACACAACAACAAGCCGGTGTGAAGTGAAACATTTCTGACCTAAAGCAGGCGATCTCATTGGTCTTTGCTGCATTGAAGGTTTTCTTTGTCATACGATCTCCATGGTCAGAGCTCATCCAACAGTCACAAAAGAAGTGAAACACATGGCGGGTTTGTAGGTCTTGGACTGTCACCTTGTTTATATACCTTTCATGGGCGGGGGGCGGTGGGGGGGACAAAACAGAGTCAATGACTAAAGGTTAACATATCTAGGATGACTCAAATGACTCAAATTCATGACTTAAACTCCAGTACCAGGACGGTCGACCTCCTGAGTTGTCGTGCTGCAGCCTGATGTTGCCTACTTCACCCAGGGGGAAAGCTGTGGCCAGAAGGAACATGTCCACAGATCCTCTCTCAAACACCGGCTTCTCTGGGTCTGTGAGTGTTTGTGTTTCACTCTCACCCTCTGAGCCAATCAGCTTCACCGTTCATTAGGAGCCGAATGTGGGAGAATGGTTAGTGCTAGAGATGTCCGATATTAACTTTTTGCCAATATACCGATATTGTCCAAACACTTAATTTCCGATTCCAATGTAAATGTTTCAGGAACCTACAAGCGACTCCAGCATATTTGGCAAAACCCAGGCATTGCGTCATCGGGTTTTAATTATCGGAGGGTAAACCGATAACGATTCATACGGATATTACATTGTTTTGCTAATATCAGGCTAATAATATTGCTCGGCCGATATTATTGGACATCCCTAGTTAGTCCCCTTGCTATAAAGCAAGACGACCAACAGTTCCAGCTCCAGTATGACCCTCTGAATAGTTGGTTGCGTAGTGGACCTAGACACTGGTGACCTGTCCAGGGCCTAGACCTAGACACTGGTGACCTGTCCAGGGTGTACCATGCCCTAGCTGCTAACTGCTACGATTGGCTGCAGCTCCCTCCACAACCGTGAAAAGGATTAAGTGTTAAATGGTGATGAATGGTGAATGAATGAAGAATCAGAAGACTCTTACATTGGCAGTGGTCCCAGCATTCTTGCGATGACCAGTCTGCACACCAATCAGGTAGTTGTACTGAGCACCAGGGTGGTTGTCCTCCAGCAGGGTGATTTTTCTCTGTGGAGCATTGACACGAGCAGAGTTTGGTTGGTTTCTTTTTTCCCACCGGTGACAGGAAATGCATATGTGTATGTCTTAACGAGAAGGCAACTTCAACAACGTTTTGATGAGCTGCCTACTAATTCTTATATTCCAACTGTGCGAGGACACTGACCTTAGAGCGTGACCTTCTGTCCGCATAGCAGGCCCACAGCAGAGTGACCAGGTAGAGGCCGAAGAAGGCGCAGAGCAAAGCCAGCACCACGTAGTTGTCATTCACTGTAGCAAACAACTCAGCGGTGCGAGCTATGTTCACATAGTTAGGCATCACAAAGAAGGAGCTCCCAAACAGGGTCAGGTGGTTACACAGACAGTGTGTCATGCGTGGGGTGGTCCTGGGTCCCACCTTACATTAGGACAATACATCACTGGTTTATATCCATTTGCGACGCTGCTTAAAAAGGTGTTTTTTTTCTGTCTGGAAACAGATGTTGAGACTCACCATACATCCATCTATTATCCAGTCTTCAATGTCCACCTCCCAGTATAGGCACTTGCTCATAAAAGAATTGATTTCCAAAGTCAAACCTTCTTCCCATGAAGAGTTAAAGAGTCTGGCATCAATACGCCAATTCCCAGTGGTCTGCTTCAACATATCTGGGGTTATCAGCCATCGATAGTCTCCTGACACCAAGGACAGATTAGTTAAAACACTCCTGCACAGTGGTGAAGCTTGGAAGTTTGGCGGTAATAAACCGCTAAGTTACCTTCAGGGGTCAGAATGGTTCTGTGGGTGGCACTTGTGATGTGAGTATTAGACTCATGAGTCAATGTAAGGATGAGTGACACATTTAGGCTGGGCTTCACATTGAAGATAATAGTCATGTTGGGGTCAAAGACAAAGACTGTGGTCACAGAATGTGTGTTTTTCTCCAGTATGACTGTGCTGTTCATCAGCTCGTGAGCGCCTGGTTGAGACATAAAGATCTAGAGATGACAACACCAAAGTGCTGTAAGCAACAGGGAACATGAATAACTGTGGACACACACACACACGCACTGTCATATTGTTTTCACCTCCACCATTTCTGTCAAGTTCTTCAGCTTGATGTCAGTCTCTCCATCGTTAAGGATAACACTGCAAACCACTCCCGTGATGTTCTCATTGGGATGGGGATTATTTCGGAACGTAGCCATCTGAACAAGAGGAGAAACACATTTGATAAATAAACGATGACAACACAAACATACCCCGGTCAGAAATGCGCCGTCCTGGCAATGACAACACAAACCCCGGTCAGAAATGCGCCGTCCTGGCACATTGACTCACCTGAGCGTTGATAGTTTTCTGCTTGCCAATGGCAGTGTGAAGCGCTGAAAAAGAAGGTAACATCACAAACTCCTCTTCTTCCTCTGAACCCAACTGTGCACGACCAATGTGGGGAATACTGTAGCTGTGGAGAAGGAATGTGCAAGTTGAGTTGCGATTAATCGTCGATCTACATAAAACATTGCAGATAATGTTATTTTTAATTGACAAATACACAAAAATGGAAACATTTCATATGTCATTTACGTTGAATACATTTTTACATTGAAAGTGAATACCAACCTGTTTTGATAAATTGTGCCTGTTCGATGCTTGATAACAAACTGCTGTAAAGGGTCTGTACGTAGTAGTTCAGCAACTTTCCGAAAAATTTTGAAAACATGTTCAAACAGATCCTGGGAAGAGAGTGAGGGAGAAAAAGAAGTAGAGACAGAGAGAGAGAGCCTAAACATCACTTGACTTAACTTAAAAACTAAATAGATAGATAGAACTTTTAATCCCTCGGGAAATTAAGGCTGGAGCAGTGCTACGACATAACACCACACAGGAATAGACAAAAAAAAATGAGAGAAGTACAGTAAAATACGGAACAAGAATAGCAGATCCGAACAGATGACACCATGAGAAGAACAGAACCTTCACACTCGAAACCATGACTAGAATATTGTAGATTATAGAATATTGTAGATTGTTATTGTTATCGTGCATTTTCCCATCAGTCCCATCGTGATTTCAGACATACTTTTTTGTTAGGGTTCTCCACAAGGTCACATTTCTTGATTGCCAGGAGGAGGATGGCAGTGCTGCAGTTGATAATTCGACCAATGGTGGCATTGTTTTCTGATGCGAAGGCTTTAGTGAGTTCTTTAGTTCCGTCATACAAGTGCTCAATGAATTTGTCCTGTGAGTTGAAAAACAGACAGACGGATTTTGACACGACTCTCAACAGACAAAGGTGTCAATAATGACAGAATTCTTTGCAAAGCGCTGGTGAACCCACCATGTTCTCGTTGGTTGGTTGCTCCGCTGTTGTTTCCATCACCTGTATTTGATGGTCTGCTTCCTGTAAAACACTCCACTGTTAACACCGGGCAGTTTAATGACCTTATTGTTTATCATAAGGTTTCTTTACAAATGAAAAGGAATTTCTCACTTGAAGAAGTAGAAAAATGTTGTTGATGTAATTTTCCATGTTGTCTACATTCCTCCTGTGTCCTGAAGTTAGATAGTGAGTCAGGGAGTTTTAAAGTTTTATGTTTTTTTCAGTTCAATAATAATCGAGTCTAACTTACGAGATCTGCCTGCCTGACTGGACACGGTTGTGTTCTGCCAAGACAAAATAAACATCATCATAATAACTTGGTCCTTGATGCTTTTGAGAGAAAAAAATTTCATTCTTTGCAGTGTTTTTTTACCTTTGTGTTGGGCGAATCCTGCAAATCTTGAAAAACACAAATGGTGTTTTAACAAACTGTTTATTGTGTTAAAAATTGAAATTTTGAAGGGCAGTTGTATGAAAGAAGTGACGTACTGCGCGTGCAGATGAAGCTTCGGCTGTGGTTGCAGTCTGACGTTAGGTTGAGCTGGAAAGGACTTGGCATCATGTATGTGCAGTTCTGCTCTGAAGCATCACTTTTTTCTGTGTTGGACACAGAGTAAATATTTCTGGGTCAGTACAACATATGAGACTAGACAAAGACAAATGATGGTCTTACAAATCATATGAATGCTTCTATAACAGACTATATAATGAAGCAATCCTAAATATTTATAATATATTCTTTTTCATGTGAAAAAAATCCAGATCTCAGACAGACACTGCATAAAAAGAATTATTTTTACTAACCTCCATCAGACCCTCCCTGCATCCCCTTCCCCAGCCACCATGTGAAGTTTTCACTGTGTCCATTGTTGGTGATGTTCTTTAGGAATATTCTGATCGGGCTGTTCGTGACCTTGAGCAGCTCACCTCCGCGTTTTTCACAACTCTTCCTGGCTTCGGACCAGGTTTGTGTTTCCTTCTCAAACTCAAAACAGACATTCCTGAAAACATGCTCACACTCCGTAGGGTAAATCTTTGCCTCCAACGTTTCAGGTAAAGGTAGAAATCCTGTTAAAATCCACAGGACAGCGAAGGTTGGAAGTATTGTGTCCATGGCCACTGTGAAATACCCAACTGAAAAACAGGGACCAGCGGCTGCACTAACAACACACAGAAGTCACGTCTGTCTCCACATGAAAATTAGAGAAGCGTCTTCAAAAAACACACATAGCATGTGTTCTCAATACATTAGGAAAAGCAGTGTGGGCTCTCAAACAAGATGCAAAGTGATGGAGTCATCGGGTGTCACCAAGGATCACCCAGGATGAACCTTCTATTTGGTTTGTTGATTGATTAGCAAGTGCACATTAGCCTGAAAAGCATTTGAACGATACAATGTTTTCAAAATAAACCATCGGAATGAATTATTTCCTTTTATTATTTGGTTTTTGTTGAGACAGTCTCCATCATGGGTGCAGAGAATTTACACTGGTGTCTTTGAGTTGTTGGACAACCATGAGTGTTAAAACACACAGAACTTTGCCATAGAAGAACATTTTCAGTCAGTTTTATGATGAGACTTCTTTCATGGCCGTGGTCCTTTGAATATATATTATGACGCATAATGACCAGACAGAGAGGCCTGTCTGGGAGCTATAATGATCTTTGAATACCAGAGATGATGCCTTTCTTTATGCCTTTTATTGACGATTTGCGGACAACGACGGGGCAGAAAAAAAAACAAAGATGAGGAGACAAGAGAAGTAATAACAGCCGTTCAATTCAGTAGGCTCTAATTGAAAGGCTGTTTCACATCAGTTCCCTCTGTTGTTGCTGAGTCTATGAAGACATTAGAACATTAACTGTTATCTTCAGGTAACAAGTCAATATTAGTTTTTACTTCCAATCGAGTGGTTGCACACAAGACTAAAAATGTTATATTGACAATTTGTGGACAACGACGGGGCAGAAAAAAAAACAAAAAAAACTTCTTGACCAGGCCTAAAGTAACTTGGCTTGTGTTGCTGAGCTCCATTAACCACTACCTTAAAAACAATAAACAATTCACCAACCTTTGCTTGTCTGACATGTATTAAGCATGTTTTGTTTTTGATTAAACGTCACACACTGCAACACTGTGGCCCGAAATGAAGGAAACAGTATATTCCGTATGGCGAAACATCTAAATTCATCATCTAAGTACAGGTGCAGCTTGGCAGCTTTGAGTGTAATACCTAAAACTGTCCTGGTGGTGGCAGCAATATTTCCGCTCAGCGTCTGAGAGAAAGTGCAGCAGAAGAAGTAGCAGCAGCAGTAGCAGCAGTATCCGCGTGTTTGTGTAACATGTTATGAAGTTCATTCAGTTGTGTGTCCTCTGAAATGATATATTTAACCCATGGCTGGACAGCTAAAGGTAAATGAATACTCGTCCCTCTGTAATGATTCAGCTTCTGTCTCAGAAAAAAAGGTTAAGACATAAAACAATGAAAGGAAAGAGAGAGAAATTCCTGCCTTCTTCCTTGGCTCTAAACCAAAGACGTTCCAGGCAGTAACGCTGTGATTTGACTGTATGTAAAATGTCTTATTGGTTTGCATGTGAAGGGAGTGCAAGGTTGTACGTTTTAAACCCAAATCTATCACCTATCAATCTTCACGCATCAAAAATGATCAATTCTCGTGTTTTCTGTCAACAGAAGTTAAAAGATGCCGTCAAGATCATCAGCTCAGGTAGCCTTCTGTTTGCGTCCTACCTGACGGTGGTGGGAGATGAACGTTTCTACTCCAACCAACTTATGCCTTTGCTGCAGAGGATTGTGGGAGCGGAAACTGCTCATATTTTAGCAGTGAAAATGATTGGTCTGGGTGTTGTTCCCCTGAATCGCTACCAGGACCCTGCCTCACTGGTAATTGTGCCTTTCACCACTGTTTTTATCTTAAATGGCCTCATGTGTCCTTATTCTTGGGCGACGATGACAGTCAGTCTAACTCATCACAGGTTAGAAGCTACTTCTTTCCCTGATGTCTGCTGACCAGCAGCAGTGACAGTACTGTGTTATTCTCAGTCAACATACACTGAGGAAAATTAAAGATAAGACAGAACGGCAAAAAAAGAAAACAGGCATAGGAGGAACAAGAACAATACATTTTATGTTATGCTTTTTGATGTTACCATTAAAAGAATGTTAAACTGATCAGACTGAAAATCAGGCTAATCATTTACAAAAACAGTCTTTGACAGGAGAGACTTGTTTGATTACATGTGTTCTACACATGCTGATGGTCCACAGCCTGTGTAATACATTTAGACATATTTCTGTGTGACATATTTAGTCTTTGTGATTGGTCATGAATGCACAAAAAAATGTACAGGATGAAGTACCGTACCACACTGATGGGGGGCAGTGACTTGTGGTGAGGTTCATGACTGACACTGCTGAGTCCCATAGCAGGTTCATGTAGCTGAATTAATCAGTTTGAAAAAAAAAGCAATCTGAAAAGAAAATAAACCTACTGATCTGGTCACTATGTATTGAATTCTTCATATGAAAAATTAGAAACATTGTCGAAACACACATTGGTCCTGGTATGGATACTTAAATGTTGGTGTCGTGACAGCCTTGTAGAGGATCTGAGGCTTAAAAATTAAAAACAAACAAAAAGCTGGACCTTTGACTTAATTGGCTGTCAGGTGGCTAAAATAACAAATATATAATATATCTATGTTTACCTATCTTCAGATGTATATTTCCCATTAACCATTATAATCTTTCAGCAGTGTTGTTTATTTACGATGTTTCCCCACTCTTTCTTCTTGTTCTGTTTTTACACAAACGCGCTCCCACACTAGCATCAAAACATCAATATTATAATCTTTCAGCAACGCTCCCACACTAGCATCAAAACATCAACAGTCATTTCTTAAAAAAAAAAATAGAAAAACGAAAACTCTTTTGTTCTGTCTTTGTGTGTCATTAGGAAGTGAAGGTTCTGGGACTCAAGTTCAAAAACCCTGTTGGCATTGCAGCAGGCTTTGACAAACACGGGGAGGCCGTAGATGGTTTATATAAAATTGGCTTTGGCTTTGTCGAAGTGGGAACAATCACTCCGAAACCACAGGATGGGAATCCAAGACCGCGAGTGTTTCGACTTACCTCAGATCAGGCCATAATTAACAGGTAAGCCCAAGAAAAGCTCAATCTTTGTCAATACTTCTGCTGTACTTTTTTGTTCTCTAGGTGAAGTACATCATCTGTAGTCTGTGCTTTAAGTTGTATTAATAATGTTTTGTTCAAGCTTTTTAAAACAGTCAATCACTTGCAGAGTCTGTCCTGCCTGAGTTAAAATTGTGTTCCTTTCTGTAGTGTTTTTTTTTGTTGAACACTGCAACATTTATCTTGTTTTTTTTCTACCTTATTCGTGTACAGATATGGTTTCAACAGCTGTGGTTTGGCTGGAGCTCAGCAGAGGCTGAAGGGCAGAGAGGAAACGCAACACAAACTGAGTGAAGGTTTGAGGATACTTTTTTTTTTTTTTAAATAATTTTGTTATTAACAAAACTGGGGTAACTTCCATTCCCTTCAATAATGTGTAATTTCAGCTGTGTTGTATTGTTGAAGTTTATCATTTATGTACAGTTATTAATGATCATTTATTGTTTTTATTACTGTTCTTGTTAAATGTTCTGGTGTCTGCTGTTTGTTTTGTTTTTTTGCATATTCAATGTGAATTGTAATTTTCTATAATGTTAAGTACTGTCTGTTCCTATGTACATTCTTGAGAGGTGTTGTAGGTGTATTGAAAATTGCTCTGAGCCGCTGCTTTTCTGACCCCAGAATCAGCCTTTGTTCTGCCTGACTCAGACTGAGTCCGTGACTGTGTCTGATTATGCTATTGTGTTTTTTTTTCTTTCTTTGTGTGTTGGCATGTTTGTGTTTACAGTAGGCCTCCCCCTGGGCATCAACCTGGGGAAGAACAAACTGTCCCAGGACGCAGGGGCGGATTACTTGGAGGGGGTGAGAGCACTGGGGACACTGGCGGACTACCTGGTGGTTAACGTCAGCAGTCCAAATACTCCTGGTCTACGTGATCTGCAGGGCAAAACTGCGCTCCAGCAACTCCTTCATTCGGTACACGTGTTTAATTAATTCCTGTGATAAAACGCAACTGTGTTTACAAAGAAGCTAAACTGATGTTTCTTTCATCATTGCAACAACAAAATTAAACGAATACCATAGAGGAAAAAAAAAGCACAGATCAAAAACCAAATATTGCAAAACTAATATTCTTTTCTTTGATAGATGGTTTAGGGGATGTTTTATGGAAATACTGAAAATTCCACATATTTTTTATTATGTTTTGATGAGCCAAATTAAAGATGAATTGAAAATATAATTCAAAACATATATTGATGTTGAATATGGTCAATACCGAGATATACTTTACATTTTCCAGCCCCCAAAAAAGGGTTCTTCCTTCTTATTTGATATCCTTATTTTCTATCACTTTGCTCAGGTGTTAAAGGAGCGTAACGCCCTGAAGGTAGAACACAAACCTCCAGTCCTGGTCAAGATCGCCCCCGACCTCAGTGCACAGGACAAACAAGACATTGCTGAGGTTGTTGTTGAGGTTTGAGGCATTTCTGTCTTTAATATTTAACATTGCATTGTAATTATTTATATTGAAAGTATGCTATTATTAATGTTAGCTGCATTTTTTAAATTGGCAATGAAAAACGTATTCCCAAATCTACAAAGTTTCTGTTTTTCTTCAAGGCAAAGTCAGTGAATTAAGAAAATGGAAAAAAAAAAGTCAGTTCTGTGTTTTGCGTCATTAAATGGCTACAATCAAATTTGACCTTTGTTTTTTTTGCTCCTCCCTAACGCGTCGTCATGACTTCAGTGATTTTTTTTTTTTTTTAAGAACTAGTTTTCTTCTTATCTGATTGAGAAGATCACTATAGAATGGTAAAGGCGTCAGGGTGGAAAGCTAAAGGATGGCATTTAGCAGCACTTTGGCTGTCACCTAGCAACAGTGCACAGTCATCTGTATGAGTCAAAAGCCCTTCACTCACACACCCTTTACCTGCCCATCAATGTTCTGTGTTTGATCCTTCTTGCATGGGCAGCTGGGGGTGGACGGTTTGATGGTTTCTAACACCACAGTGTCCCGACCAGAGACGCTCCAGGATCCTAACAAGGCAGAGGTTGGTGGGTTGAGTGGACAACCTCTGAAAGACCTTTCCACAAACACAGTACGAGAGATGTACTCACTCACCAAAGGTATGAAATCAGATGGAAGATTTTATTGGAAGATTTCCAAAAAAATACGTTCTTTGACATTTTTTTGACATGCATTTCCGATATTTTGTAGGTAAAATACCAATCATAGGCATTGGAGGCATTGCTTGTGGGCGTGATGCTATGGATAAGATTCGAGCTGGCGCTTCATTGGTTCAGCTGTACACCGCGTTCACCTATCAGGGCCCACCTGTTGTGACAAAGATAAAGCGGGAACTAGAGCAAATTCTCAAGTGAGTATGGGTGGAGATCCAAATGTACACAGTTGGAAAGACAATGTTTGACAATTCGCATTGGTTGAAATAAAAATAAATTGTGCATCAAGGTGTAAGGAGTAGGCTGCATTATCTTAAAAAGTCAATGGTCATACCATGACACTACACACTGGTACGGTAGGTGGCGGTATGCGCCAAAAGCCATTCGTTGTGACCTGCTATTAAACCCTCCCTACTTAGCCTATGTGACATTCAGGTTTTTAAACAGAACGTGGGAAGAACTTCATCCACAGACAGTATTTTACACAGTATTTTCCGTAAAGAAACAAACTCTTTTCAGTTAATTTTTTTTTTACATTTTTTTGTTGTTTAATATATTGACAGTTGTAAAGAAACGAACTCTTTTCAGTTAAATTTTTTTTTTTAAATTTTTTTTGTTGTTTAATATATTGACAGTTAGTGAGGTAAATAAGACCCGACCAGTTTTGCTCCTCAATAAGAAGATAAATGGTGATTTGAAGTATTTCTGTAAAAAAATGTCCTTTTTTTTTCTATTCTGCTATTTAAGATAACAATTTCAGTGAATGAGGTACACAAGAACATTTCAAACGGTACTTGTATTTTTATTTTTTGCATAGTTCTTACAAATAAAGGATCATTGTATTTGGTCAGAATTTGTGTGGAGCTCAATTTGTTAAAGAAAACTCGATAAAATCGTACTATGGACAAGAAATCGCGGGGTTATCGTTACTATACTTTACTTTAACTCATTAACTGGATAATTGTCAGTGTTTTATCATCCTGTAGGTCTGTTACAAACATTTCTTAACGGTGCATTATTACTTTTCAGGGATGAAGGTTTTAGCAGCGTGTCGGAGGCCATAGGAGCAGATCACAGAAGATCAGATGGAGGTGACTTTTAAAAAACATTCTGTTCAAAATGGTGGTGATTGTGCACACGGGGAGACACGGAATGGACAAGACTATCTGTGACTGCATACTGAACTGGGCTGTCTCTCACTCATGGTCCTTCCTACTGTCCTGTTAAAACACAAAATCTTAGTCTGTCTTTCCTGCATAAATATGTTGAGATGTGCTGTGAATACATCTCTCTGTTTTGTTTTTTTAAAGTGCACATTGAGACCATTGTTTGTATAAATATAGTCGTCTATTTTGTTTTTGTTGTGCTTCAAATAAGTTTTATCTGAAAATATTGATGAAAGAAAACTTAAACAGATACTCAGGTTAATGTTGTATGAACGAAACCAACAGGAAATCAAATATGAAATAATGTTCAAAAAGTGTGTTCAACAATGCGTCTCCTGATGAGGGGACACCAGACGATGAGTCATACAGTTTCTTCCTCTGTCCTGTCCTGTCCGGTCAGATAGTTCGATCCCGTTCAGCCTTTTCAAATCAATCCGTTTCTTCTCGCCGAAGGCCAGAAAATACTGTGATGTTTAACATTCAACATAACGAGGCCGACTTTGAAGACGTCACTTTCATTTCACGCTTATTAGCTTCCTCCGTCCTGCCATCAAACAAGCTAATCTCCTGTCAAACGCCATATCTTTTCTGTTAAAGTGGCTGGAGATTTTTTTTTTTTTACATCCGTCAGATTTTAGTGGGCTGGTTTGATGTTAATAAATGTATAGTAACGGCATGTGACAACTGGTGTCGTTTCCACAAAAATAAACGCCCAAAAATTTTGATTTTTCTTTTTCTTTTTGACAATTAATACATCACTGCTGTAACTCCAGGTTAAACTCAGTATTTCAGCTTTTATTTTACCAGGAAAAAAAAAAGTGACTTTTTTTTCGCTAACATCTATTTTTTAAAGCCATTTAAATTCACTAGCTAACAGTCCCTGAACTGAGCCAAGAGAGTTCAAGTCCAGTCACCTCCTCACCGTTTTCTGACACGGAGAACAAACTGATTTGTGATTTGAATCCTAAAGTCAGTATTGACGATATTCTTAGAACAATTCTATTTAATGTAACCATGGACAACAACAACAACAAACATGATTTATTTTTTTGCGATAAAGACATTGTTTCAGGATACGGTTTGGTTTATCAATACTTTTCTTGAAATGATTTTAGAGGCATTAGTACATTACATGCTGTAAAACACTTAAAGGCGGTGGTTTGCATCAGTCCTTCAGCCTCCTTGTTCTTTCACATCTCTCTTTACTCTCAACTATGCAAATAAGAGCAGAGAGTGATGTCAAGATGAGGATGACACTGACAAAAGATCCAGTATTCTTTTTTATTTTCCTCTTTTTTTTTTGTTGGATTAGACGTGGGCACTAAAAGTGTGAAGTGCTGTCTCCCACCTGTGGGTCTCTGCAGCCTCCGGCTCTAGCCACAGGTGTGAAACATCTCTACATCGGAAAGCATAGCGTAGCCTTGTCAATGAAATGGAAACAACAAAACAGTTTTGAAGTAGAAAATGTCTTTGTTGTATTTCAAGGAGAAGTGGTTGTAGATGAATGATCTGTTTATGATGTATTTTTATACAGAACACAGATTTACGAACAGAGGGAAAAAAAAAGTTTGCTTGCTTTGGAAATCTTCGCTGCTGTTTATCCTGAGCAAATATATATGAAAACAAGTAGTGGGACAATATATATGTATATATATGTGTATATTTGTATGCATATATGTGTATATATGTATGCATATTTATATGTATATGCATATATATGTATATATGTATGTACATGTATGTATATATGTATCTGTATATATTTATAAATATATGCATATATATGTATATATGTATGTATATATGCAGTCCGAGTCATATATGTATTGGGGGTTCATTAACCCGACTTGGATACAGAAAGGAGTCAATGGCCAAAAAAGTTTAGGAACCGCTGTTGTAAAACATATATCAGAACTCTCAATACAATAATTTAAAAGCCCTCTAATACCATATTTCCTGTTGTCACTTTGTCTTTGTTCAACAGCAGTTTGATCAGTCCATCAGCAGCCTGTTTGATGCCTTACATCACTGTGGAAAAAAAACAACCAGTCCGAGCTGTGCATCTGTTCCATACGTGATCACAGCCTTTATCAGCCCAAAACAGCGTTACGGAAGTCTTTCAAGGCATCAAGGTATAATTTGACCCTGTGAGTGGTTGAATGCTTTGCTTTTTCTGTGTTTACACAAGATGAGTCAAAGATTCAGCACACAATATAGATGAGAACCGTATGACCTCCGGTTGTTGTGTCTTCTCTGTTTCCAAAACCACCCCCCCCCCCCTGTTCTCCCAGGCATCTTTGTCTTTGCCACAGGTGATCGACGAGTTTTATTTGGTCTGACACACAACTGTTTTGCCTTAAGAGATTGGACAAAGACAGATAATTAAAAATTAATTCATGAAATGTTACGGGGCAGGATAAAAAAAAAGCAGGGCAGACAAACAAACACACATGACCTCGCTGAGGAGGTGTCCACGGCCAACAGAATGTTTGTGCATGTGTGTTATGTGCCGTGGTGTAACTATAGTGATGCAGAGTGTAGGAGGAGAAAACACTTTTGTCCAGTGTTGGCCCTTGAAACTAACGTCAGAGAGTAATTACATCAGTCACTCCAACTGCGGAGGTTTGTGAAGTTAAGGCTTTAGTTGAAGCGAGAAGCAGTTGAAATACAAGACGTGCACGTCTCTGCCCGTCTGTCTGTTTTTTGTTTTTTTTCTTTCTGTGCTGTCTTTAAGGTTTAGTCCACTGAGACACAGCCCTGAGACATTTGACCACATTTAAATGTTTCTGACTGACAAATTCTGACATCAGTGTGTTTACTAACTTGCAAATGAACCTTTCTAACCTGCCTGTAGAGTGTGTGTGTGTGTGTGTGTGCTCCCACAAGTATCAATAATAGTGGCTAGTTACCAACGTTGTTCTCTTTTTGGTCACATCTGGTGGTTCCGGAGTTCAGCAGTTTCTGCCTGCCTTACAAGCAGCGTGTCCTGGATTCAATTCCGAGAAGTGTGAGATCAATGAAGCTCAAATTATTAATTGATAAAACAGTTTAAATCTCAATATCCTGACCAATAATTTTTGATTTCACACCTTTCCAAATCATTTCTTTCAGATGAGCTCCTAAAATTTAAATAGTAAAGTAAAGAATTCTATTACTGGTGAACTCCTTTTCACTTTTCCTCTTCCTTTTTTTAGTTGCATCGATAAAGTTACATTACTGCCCTCTACTGGGCACATTTACCGTATTCAGTTCTGGAACGTCCCTATAAGTTATTAAAAAAAACCTGGAAAAATACATTTGAATTATATATCACGTCACATTTCCCAAAATGAATGAAATATGGTATTTTTTTATAACCAGCTCATTCTGAAATTGTAAGTTTGTATTCTTAATGATCGGATATTCTGGTTGAGACAGATTTAAAGTTTTTAAACTGTCGGATTTTTAATTAAAGAATTTGAACAGGAACAGGGAGTAAGATGTAACCTGCAGCTCGAGGGAAAATTGAAGAGTTGTTGAGAGTGAATATATAACACTTAAATATACTGTATGTGACCAGCACTGACAACGTGCTGAGTTTATGAATATATTCCAGTCAGAAACCAGATGATATTTCTGGTTAGTTCTTTCTTTCTCACATATATATATATACATATATACAAACGTGCTGAGTTTATGAGTATATTCCAGTCAGAAATCAGATGATATATATACGTATATATATATATATATATATATATATGCTTACTTTGCTCTGACATTTTAAAAGCTTTTGTGTGATGTCCTCTGGATGACACTTAAGACAGATTACATCACTTACTATGCATTGACACATTTTTGGCACTTAGCTATGTCGTGACTCATTGTCCAATTATCAATATTTTGCTTAACAACAAAATATTTCTGTTTCATGACATTAACATACTTTTGACATCTTTAAAATTTTGCAAGCCATTTTCTGTTGGTTTCCCACAAAACAGTTATTGTTAGTACTTAAAATCAGACTAGGAAAAATACTCAACAACATGATTATCATCATCTTTATTTTTGCTTTATTTTCCCCCTGATGCAGTTGCTGAAATATAATTTCATTTATAACTTACTTGCGAACTATTAAATGAATCTAGTTACATTACGCGACATTGCCAAAGCTCAAAGACACATTCACACAAGGAAAATAAACAGGCACAGAATTATTACTTTGGATTACTAAAATGCTTCACATGAAGTCTTTATTGTGGTATCCATTAAATTAATTCACACTGAATAATCACAGACAGATCAGTAACATAGTAAATCATATTAGCCCAGACAAAATAATATGAAATGAAAAATCAGTCAATACTCGTTGTCTGACAATGTATACTGCTGCTGCAGTCCACATTAAAGTGCATATGTAGCATTTCTTATGTTCATGCAGTTTGAAGGCATACCATTTTTTTTGTCCAAATTTGACAGTAACTTTACTTTTTGTGCTAGAACTTCTGCAGACAGCTGAAATCATTCACAGGAAAACAGGGAATCACACAACAAGCATCGAGCACAGAATCCAAACATGCACTTCCAGGGAAAGAAGCTGCTCTTTATAGCACCGGTGGCCACACCGACTGAATGCAGAAAGACCGAAAGAATTTTTTTTTTTTTTGTAGTGAGCACTAAGTGTTTTCATCGAAACTTGGTAGAAAAGTTGTGGTGGTTGGAGTGATGCTCACCAGAGAGTAGGGAAGGAGAGGGAGAGAGAGAGAAGCAAATATCCAATACCAGCTGCTCAACAGTCTGTAAGCTGTCAGAGCCAGGTCCAGCAGCTGCCGACTTCAGCATCAGTTCTAATGGACAAACATCAGAGCGCCCTCATGGTTAAGTGGTTCCCAAGTTAATAAGGTTGTTTCTTCAAAGTCTTTCAAATTACTCTCAAATTAAACCGTGTGGAAAAGAAACAAAACTAATCTGTTAAAAAAAAAAAATCAATCTCCAACTTTGAAATATTTAAAAAAACAATTGAGATGTATAGGTAAAGTACAGTGGGGCCTCGGGATACGGGTTTAATCTGTTCCACAGCAGCACCTGTATCTCGCTGTATCTCACCTGTATTTTTCCCGTTAAAAATAACTAAAAATCAATTCATTTGTTCCAGCCTACAGAAATATACTATTAATTAATTAAATTACCCCCCTCATCTAAACAAAATATTTCATATTATTGTTATAAGAATCGGTAAAATAACCACAGGAGGAACAGTGAGCGTGACAGTGTCAATTGAAAAACTGGAGCTCGGTTGAGGTTATTATTAATTATTAATTAATTGACCGTCAGTCAATTGAAAAACTGGAGCTCGGTTGAGGACTTGTAACTCGATGTTTCCTTGTATCAGGAGGAAAATCTTGCAAAAGTTGCTTCCTCATAACTTGGAAAGCTCCTATTCCGGGTAGCTCGGATCTCGAGGCCCCACTGTAATTGTGTGTATCTTACAACAATATGTTGTGTTGTGCTTAACCTCTAAAAGGGATTTAAGATACTTATTGCGTATGATCACTTTTCTTTGTTCACTTTCCCGTTTTTGAATTAAAACCTGAACAAGAAGATATGGCCACAGTGCTGTAGTTCAGTAAATCAATGAACTCCTCTCCTGCTCGTTCACTGTCATAATGTAATATATGTTTCAATCATTGTTTCCCAAAGACTGGGTCGCGACCCTCAGGTGGGACGCAAGAGATTTTTTTTGGGGTTGTCTTGCATCATGTTTCCCAGGAGTTTACGAATAATGTCTATTCACTTGGGTCCCCAGAAAAAAAAATTGAAAATAGCCCTGTGAAGCTGAGCCAATCCACAGGTGGTTAACTGTGCAAGTCAATGAACTGATTTGTGTTTCCTAGGGCTTTTCACTGTTTGGGTGAGATTGTTCTCTGTGAAGGAGGAGCATCACGCCTTTCCTAAAGCGCTGGTCCCTGACACTGTAAATGATAACATTACAGCAACTGTTTCCTGTCAGCATCCAGAAGGCAAAAAAGGAAAAATTACACCAGGTATAGCCCACTACATTCCCCAGCACAAACACTGCAATGGGAGAGAAGGATGCTGTGAAGGCAAATGTGAGGATGCCGATGGTCTTGGCAGCTTTAATATCTGAGAAGGAGGGCCTCTGCTGGCATCCCTTCCCTCCTCCACCGCCCCCCTCGTTTAGGCTCCCTTCTGAGAGCAGTTTACGTTTTCTGGAGTACCGGCGAATAGTAGTGAAAGACAAGACATTCACTGCAAATGTTGCGCCCAGGAGTGTGAAGTCAAACGCTGGGAATAAAAGCAAAATGTAGGCGTCAGACCGCAGCTGCTTTCCATGCAAAAGCGGCGTGTAGTTGCACATGCGGCTGCACTCATTGTACTCCAGAATGAAGTTACTGCTGAAGATGAGAGGAGCCAGAGCCAGGAGGAAGCTCACTACCCACGAGATGAGGACAAAGAACAGCGTCCTTTTATGGGTGACCACGGTGTCCTTGTGGAGTGGCCACAGTATGGCAATGCTCCGCTCCAAGGTCATGAGGAAAATAGTGCTGATGGAAACAAAAGTGCATCCAGCAAAGACGGGGCCAATCAGCATGCAGGGCTGCCAGGGATTGTCTGTTCCACTGATGGAACTGCCCTGGTACCAAAGTGGAGGAGTGCTCATCACCATGAGAAATATCTCAGTGTAGACGCTGAAAGGAACCACCAGGACACCAACCATCATGTCGGCCATGGCCAACGACACTGTGGATGCAGAGATAAAACAGGCGTGATGGTCAAACTTTACAACGTCTAACTGCTGAAGAAAAACAAAAAACGACGACACTAAAACGTTTCACTCACCTTTCAGATATCCCTGCGGTGATCTCGACTGCCGCGTTTGCACCATCACGGTAAGTGTGATCACGTTTCCGACCACGATGGCAAACGCCAGGCTGATCATGAAAACCACCGCCAGGGTACGGTTGACAAAACCACAGCTGCAGACGGTGCAGAGGGGAGCCAGAGATCGACCTGACACCGGTCCGGTCGTCAGGTTGAATGACCAGTCAGTCATCATCACCGGGGCCGACGTGATCTCAGGAACGCTCACATTGCCAAGCAGCGAAGCCATGGCTCAGTGTGTGGTTTAACCGTCAGACCTGAATGTGGCAGAGCTGCTCAGGAGACTGTGTTCTGCTCTGAGAGACGGCCATGTTGAAAAAAAAAAACCACATAAACAATATATATTTAATACAGTAAAGACACTATGGAAAATCTATCCATCCAACCATCCATCCAACCATCCATCCATCC